TGAGTTTTAAACAATTGGGTTTAAAATTTATCAATATTAATATTATTAACTTATGAATAATAAAATAAATAACCAAAAAGTATAGGGGTTTTATAATTTAGTTTTGAATTAATACATATTCTGTCAACTAAACGTGCATTTTTTTTTCGTACCTTTTGTTTTAATCAGCAAATTAGTCTTACGCTGCCTTTAGGCGTAATTATTATATTTTTATTGGCTGCTCATTTGCTTAACCGCTTAGTCCATCGACCAGTGAGTCTATCAGTCAGTTGGCCACTTAATCAGTGTCTCCCAGCACGCGATCTCCACTTAGCATTTGGTCAACATCGTGGAAGCTAATTTGAACGAGCTCAGTTTCCAATCATTTGACGTGCTTTGTCATAGCCTCTTGAATACCTCATAGCTCACAGTCTTTATTTATGGACACAACGTTTGGCACACGCTGGGAAATCTGTTGAGCAATAAGTGATTTGCATTTCAATGGTTCTTTAACTCTTACTTGAACGTTTTATGTTTGCCCAGAACGATTTGCATCCGAGCGGGTTTTTTAATGATTTTTTTACGCGCTATTATCCGCAACAAGGTGTTTGCCCATTCTGGTGAGTCCAGGGAACTCAAATCCATGGTTTATCTGGAAGTAGTCAGACCTATGAATAAAATTAAATGGTTCGCTGGAAAGTCGCTTCAATGATAAATTGATATTTATTCAGATTTATGGGGAGTTTTCTAGAGCGGGGAAATTAAACCAGAAAAGATCATGGGCAATTATTTGATGATAAATCATATTCGCTATTGACGAGTTGGGCTTAATTTTACATTTTTTAGATATTAACATTTGAATTTATTTCACAAAGTTGGGTAAACAGAAACTCTAACAAAAAATAAAAATTTTAATTTTAATTCTGAATTTAAGAACAACATTTAATTGAATTTCCAAGAAGTTGCTCCCCAACACGTTGACCCACTCTCCTCGATGGCCTTTAATTTTGTTATGCAACACTCAAAGCCAAGAACACTTTTAGCTTAACTTTCCGGTATTTGGAACAACAATAGCTCTACCAACAATAGCAGCAGAAAAAACATAAATTTGGGCATAGACACTTGGCACTCAATTGGCGAAAAATAAAAGAATCCACAAGTGGCAGAAAATGAACAAAAACACAGGTCAAGACGTCGGGCCCACATATCGTAGACCAAGAAACGAGCCAGAAAAGTGTACCAACGCTGAATTCTCTAAGTGGAGAGCAGTCTTTGGGCCGGTTCTAATATCGGTTTCGTTCTCTGCCGCTTTTTACCCTGGCAAAGGGTACTGAAAACCAATCCTTTATATGTCATCTAAAAGCATTTTGAATTAATATTATGCTTTACAAGATGATGGCGATTTTCGCAGGAAATTTATTTTGTTTCAATTTATTTGATGCAAGAATGTCGGGAAATCGGGAACTATTATTTATAAAGTTGTGTTTAACTCTTAAAAACGGTTTCCATAAAGTACGTACTTTTATTTTACTATTTTAAAAAGATACATGTATTTCATAAAACAAATTACTTTATTTTTGATTTCTTGATTTCAAGACGAAAGATAGACCTAGAACCAGAACTAAAGTTAACATGTAAGATTAATGAAGCTTCTTTAAGATAGGGTATTTTGAACTTAGATTTGCTTTCTAGGTTTCTTGCTTCTAACCGTAGTCAATGAGTTCTCTTTGGTTTATTATTTTGATTTAAAGAGCATTTCAAGGCTGAAAAGATACGACTAAAATCAACGGGTCATCTTCGCATGAAACGAATGAAACGGCAGTTTTGTCGCTAGGCTTCATTACTTTGAAGATTGTCACTGTCATTGCCATTAGAGGCGCACATTAATGCCCCTATCTCAACGTATTTTTTTTTTTGCAGCTCCGACTTGGACTCGCTGCAGTTCCAACTGACGTGCGAAATACCTCGGATTCGCGTCAAGGCTCAGTACCGATCCACAGGTGTTCTGATCTTGGTGAAGGCCTCCGGTGCCGGCGACTACTGGGGGGAGTATGGTGGGTAGTCGTGTTACTGGGCTGGGTTGGCGCTCTACTAATCACTCTCGATCTCGCAGAGGGCGTCAAGGCCAAGATCTACTTCAAGGCGTTGGCCAATGAGGGTCCCGATGGGCGCACCTATCTCACGACTGACTCTGTCAAGATGGACTTCAATGTGAAGGAGATCCAAATGGGAGTGGACAACATTGCCAATGGCAATTCGGTCATACGTAAGTATATTTAGTTTACTTAATTGTAGAGAGTTGATATGTTTTCAAACAGTTTGTTTGATTGCTCATCAACTTGTTATGAGTTTAAGCGATTCTAAATTTCATAATAATGTTCAGAGACATAAGTGTAATCCAAATGTTGTTATCCTTTCACAGAGGCCGCCCTCAACCTGTTCATCAACTCCAACTCCCAGGAGCTGCTTAAGGAAATGAAGCCGGCGCTCAGAACCAAACTCACACTCGTCATTCGCAACTTCATGGATCGCATCTTCGCAAAGATCCCACTGGACGAGTGGATCAACCTGAATTAGATTGTAGTTTCCCTAGTCTAAGTCCTAATTTATTGCACACAGTTCAAGCTAAATAAACCAAGTAAAGTCTATCTAGGATGTTTATTGCTCAAAAGTGCTGCTGCATAACCCAAGCTACTGGTTAGTGTGTCATCAGAGTTATTCAGTCCATCAGTGCGGCATTAGGCAACTGGGATCGAAGTTGTTATTAAAAGCACGTTAGCTGCCCCCGCACGTCACGCTAATTCAAGGTCTTTGCCATCTGAATGAATGAGAAATGTGGGGAAAAGGTTTGTAAATAACAGGAGATAGACCGGCTGAGTTTGTTTTTGCTTAAAATACTATATAACTGTGGGGTTGTATTCACTTTCGTAACATTTAAAATAATTATTGCAAAAAGGAATGCTGAACCAAGAAACAACGTAGTGCCTTTTCAGCCAAAGTAGCCCTGCTTCTTTAAAATTTAAATGCTTCATAATGGTTTCATCTTTTTTTGAGCCATTAATCTTCAATTCTCGTTCTGCTGGATGATGCTGGTAGAATCTCCCTCTGTATATCCATAAAAACAGCGACCCTTGCTCGCTTAAATCCCAAATAAGTGTCAGCTCAAATCTCCATGACCACATCCGATTGAATAATAAACTATGAACGAGCAACAAACATCCGCACACCTCAACTTATCTAATGCAGCTATCATTGGGATGAGGCCTGGAAAATGATTTTTATCTGGCTCCCGAATTGCGTGCACCTCGCCAATTTACCTCCTCCACATTCAGCCTCCGCATCGAAGCAGCTATCCTCAAGTCGGGGAAAGCCATTACGCAATCCGCTAGCTGCACAACTTCCAAAGTTGGCAGATTGTCAACACACGACTCCATCGAAGATGTTCGCGTGGCGTAATTGCGACATGCACGATAGCGACTAGAACGATCTTCCTTGCCCCTGCCCCAAGCGTCCCGTCCGGAATCCGGAGTTGACCCCTCACTAACTGCGATCACCACACTTGGAAGAAAATTACTCATTTTGTGACATTTTATTATATTCGCTACATGTTGTTGGTTGAAAAACAATATGACTTTTGTTACTTAAAACATTTTAAGTCAGTTGTTGCATATAGTAGTAGTGTTGAGCAGCGAGATATTATGTTAATATATACATATAACTGTGATCGGAGGATCAGATCCCTTAGCCCTGTTTGTTAAAGTTCAATATTGATAGCTCACTGTAACATTATGGAACTATTTTGTTACATTATGTACTGTATTAACGCTTGTTCTTGTCCTTTTGCGTTGATAACTTCCAAATAACAAACTAACTAACTAACTAACAAACTAACCAACAATTCATATTGTAACTTTTTGATTTTTCGTTTTCTTCTTTTGCAGTTCTTGGGTGCCATGGCCCACCAAAAAGACTGAATAGTTTTGATCAGAGACCGAAACGTTTTAATTTTATCATTAAAATTGAACCATTTAGAGATTTTCAGATTTAAAAAAAAATATATATTTTTTATCCTTATAACAAAAACTTATAACAGGACTTTGTTGTCATTATGACTTTAAAAAATATTTTAATAGGTAAATAACTCTTTTAAAACAATTAAACGATGCAACCGGAAAATAAAGGTATACAAACCGAAAAAGTCTTGCAGAAATCTCTTATTCAGATATTGACACTAAAGGTGCCATTTAAAAAAAAAAAAAGTTTTTTACGTGAAAATGTTTTTGTGGCGATTTTGTTTTTTATCTTTAACGGTCATCTTCAGTTTGAAATATAAAGTTTTTATAGAATCTTATATGCTAGATCTCAAAAAAATTTCAAAAAGTTGCTAAATTGCAGTTCCGCTATTATAAAGTGCACCTTAAAGCCTCAATTTAATTTTAATCCCTTATCCTGAAGATGGAACATTTACTAAGCCATTAATTTTCGTAGTTCGCCGGATTCGTCATAAATAAAAATGTGTTTTTCAATTATTTATTAGAGTAAAAAAAATTTACCTATGATAAATTTCTCCTTCTTTGATATCTTTATTAATTGTAAAAATGTTTTTCCAAGTGCAAATGCTGGGAATCAGTATTATGGTTCAAGTTTCCGGCTTGACCTGCAGTCTGCATTTTCCCGGCCAACTGCCAATTTCCCACACGTCTGTGAGTTTGGGTTTGTCACCGGGCGACAATATTGCGGATGAAATTGCCCCAACTTTTATTATTGTTATTATACAGTGGCTGCTTAGCGTCTTTTACGCCCTCTCTACCCCTCTCTTTCTATAAATAGTTGATCTTCTCTTTCTAGTTGTTTAAGCTTACCTGGCGATTTCTGGGGGCAGGGGGCGGCGGAGGGGCGTGGCAGGGGGGCGTGCGAGTTCTACGACGTGTGTTTTCGAGCACAAGCTCTCATGTAAATCGTAGCTCAATTTTTTCTATAAAATGCGCCGGTCTCAACAATTTAGCATTCAGTACGATCTGTTGACGGTTACTAAAACAACACCCGGCTCTACTAGCTCGAGAACGTTGAGCAGCCTTCGACAGTTTATAAAAATATAACAAACCAGTGCCAAAACAAACATTTGAAAATCAAATTTAAATCTCTACCAACTTGTGTAAGTTTCAACACTATGGTGTATGTATCCTTAAGGATTTACGAACGGAAACTAAATCTAAAAGTGTGTTAAAAGTTCAAATAAAAAAACCAAATAAAAAAGACAAAAGTCTTAAAATATTTTAAGCCTTTCTTGTTTCACAAATATTAAAGTGAAAACATTTTATTGTAAATTTTAGTTTATTGTTTACCCAAAATTAAAGGTAGTAAAGGAATCTAAATTGAGCTATACATATTATAAATTAGTAATGCCCTTAGAAACAGTAGCGGATTTAAATGACTTTAGTTTTTTTTCCCAACTTCCTCTGCCTCTGGATAAAAACTTATAATTATATACAAATTTATTTTAAAATATTGACCTTACTTATCCACCGTCTTGCAGTTTTCCCTTTGTAGCAATTACTTATATTTTCAATACTTAGCAAACTTAAATCGCAATATATTTAACCTTTGCTCTCCTTTATAGGGACCATTAACTAACTGCTCATTAAAATCAATTACAGACTAGCCAACACACCAGGTTGCAAATGACAGTAATTTGACAGTCTCGGGGCTCCTTCCATTTATTAGACTAAGTCGCAGCGACAAAATGCCTATAATCGGTCACCTGAGATGTTAATAGAAATGGCAGGTGGATCGTTTAAGAGCCGGTTAAATTGTTTAAATCATTACTGGGGGTTGATAAACTTTGACGTCAATAAATATGAAAAAAAAAAAAATACTGGTAATATGTGTTATTAAGTTTATCATATCTTTCCACAGAATACATTGCAACTTAAGAAGCGAAATGCACCCCTCACTTGTCGTAGCCTCTCTGTTGATCTGTTTTGTGGCTTGCAGCTTAGCTGCCACCATGCGTAAGTTAAAGGAATTCCTTAATCATTACTACCGAAACTTACCGTTACCATTCTTTTTCCCAAAGCTGACTATATCCAGGTTTGCCATCGCAATGATCCCGAGCTATCGAAGTGCCTGAAGAGAAGTGTTCACAATTTGCGACCCTATTTGGCCAAAGGCATTAAGGAATTGAATGTCCCGCCACTAGAGCCCCTCTACATTGGAGATCTGAATTTTTTGGATGGCTCCGCTGGTCTTACGGTTAGAGCCAAGAAAATGAACATTCTAGGGGCCTCGAATTTCGAAATCACTAAGCTGCGTGCATCGACCCAAAGTCGTCGTTTCGATTTCGAGTTGATTCTCCCTCATCTTCATGGAGAGGGGCTCTACGAGATCAACGGCAACATCCTGGCACTTCCCATCAAGGGTAGTGGACCATTCACGGGAAACTTCACCAACTTTGTGGCTTATGTGCGGGTCCAATATGATATCAAGACCGTTAATGATCTGGAATACCTGCATGTCAAGGAGTTCGCCTTGAAGATTCGCACTGGCAAGGGTAACCTGAAGCTGGAGAACCTCTTTAATGGAGACAAGGTCCTGGGCGATGTTATTAATGACACGATCAATCAAAATTTCGAGGTCTTCACCAACGATTTGATCGCACCAATTGCCCGCGCTCTGGAGGCCAATTTCCTGGTCATCACATCCAAAATACTGGAAAACTTCACCTACAGCGAGCTGTTCCCAGTCTAATGGCGCACTGTACTTAAACTAGAATTAAGCTTGTGATACACTCGAATTGTTTTAATTAGTCCTAAAGAATTCAATAAAAATATCAAATTTGAACAGACATTTCAACTCGAATCGGTTGCAGCCCAGCGGGTATAATTTAATGTAATTAATCACTGCCTAATGGGTCAAATAAGGGAACGCTTTTGCTAAGTGCTCCGACTATTAAACAGTCATTACGCAGCTAATCAGTTACAAAGTAATCGAAACTTAGGTGGCGCCATCTACTGAAAATGTACTTTTATTTCAATAGCTTCAGAAATATTAGTTCGGTTTGGAGCATTTTTGTATGATCGAATAAACATATAAAATCTTAATGGAATGTCTTTAGAGCTGTATATATATATTATATATATTTTATTGGGTCAAAACGATTCCTATTACCTATTACAAGCTTTTCTTACTATTCAATTAACTGTTGTTATGTTTAAAACGAGACAAGCTGAATCTAAACTCAAACTTTTTTTTTCTAAAACAGAAACTCGACGTTGATTTGAATTTATGGGCGATTTTTTCTATATTACAGAAAAAAGGTTTTTAAAATATATGACTCTCACAAAACATACAGTGGGAAAAGGAAGTTTAAGTACACTATGCCCTGAAACTCCATCATCATTATTTTTTGTTTTCTTTTACAAATTACAGCCAAAACTAAATTTTACTTTAGACATTTTTGCGAACTCGTTTCCCACGCCGTCCATCCCTGAATTACCGTTGGGATTTTTGAAAAATGTGAAATTCCGATTCCCACAGAGCACATCCACCATCTGATAACATATGATTATATTTGTTGAAAAGAAGCCAAGCTTGCCTAAAGTCAATGCTCCGTTCAAAAGTTATTAAAAAAAAATACTTTTTTTTTATATAATTCAAAATAAAATTTTTTTTGAGTTAAAAAAATGTGCGCTTAATAAAAGGGTAAAGGGACTATAAAATCGTTTACAAATTTAGAAGAAAGTGTCTTCTATTAAGTTTTATTATTTTAAGATTTTTTTGGAAAAGAATTTTGAGCATTTTATTTCTCAACAATTATTTTGAAAACAATTACTAGGTCCGGCAGCCCTTTAAATAACTTATTGCGTTTCCCAGAGGCTGCCATCTGCCAGCTCTATTCGATAGTATCGATCAAAAATCGATGTAAGTATCGAAGGAGCATCGTTTTTTTCCACCTCTAGACTATCGATTCGTATTCGATACTATCGAACAGAGTCTATACCATTGCTGCCCGAGTTTGCCCTCAATTAAAAATAAAATTACAAAATTTCACTGTTTCCATTCGCAAAACGCAGCGCATCACCCAGGCGTTCAAATTCACAACCAACACAAGTTGTAGTATCGTTGTGAACCATGTCAACACCCGCACGCAGACGTCTTATGAGAGATTTCAAAAGGTGAGAAAAGAAAAGAAAACGAAACAAAACGCAAGGAAAGGAAAGTAAAGTAAAGGAAAAGAATGGAAAACACGAAAATCAGCAGGAGAAGCCAATCTCGAAATACAAAATCGTCGGATTTTTCGGATTCGTGTTTCGTGGTGCGAAAAAATGTTGGAGAAAAGAAACCTGGGGGCTGCCCAATACATATAAGCAAATATATATATGTGTGCTCTACGTCTGTATGTAGTGGAAAAGTTTGCGCAGCCAAAATATGTATATGTGACTGTGTGAGTGGTTGATTATTTTCGCTGCTTTTTACTCTTGTGAAAAACAAAAACAACAACAGCAATTCGCTTGTCTTTGACACTTGACTTTGATGTGTCTGTGTGTGTGCGTTCGGTGCGGTGCGGGGAAAAGCGAGAAAACAAAGGGGAAAATTGGGAAAACCAAACAAAAATTCTTCCGTCTTGTGCCGAAATTGCGACGCAGCAAAACATTAACAATTGTTTTTGGATCCGCCTGAGTCAGCAGCTGCATCCTGCCCGCTTGCCCTCTCCCGCTCGCACTTAACCTTGTTGACTCACGCGAAAGAGAGATAACGCACTCCAATTGGAATTACATTCGATTTCGAAATATTCATCATCTCCGAAAATTTAAAAGCTGGCGCGAGATTGCAAATTGCGCTTGGGGAATACGAAACCAAATGTCAAGGCTGTTTGGGTGGGCGGGATTTCCTACCCCAATGCAAGCTACCGCCCCGGGAACCACACAGGGAAAAATTAAGAAAAACTTGCGTTTTGCTCACAAAAATTGATTTTCACTTTGAATCAGAGATATATTTCATAAAAGCAACATAATATTTCAATTGCATAAAAAATAATGGAATTGCGAGTCGTCGTTTAACTACCCTGTAGTCCTCTCACATTAGAGTTGACTACATTTTACAAACTTTGACCCATGTCAAAATCATAATTGGAAATCACTAGATTTTTCTGCTTTTGCGATTTCAAAATAAGGGATATTTACATATGTAATATATTTGCTTTTTATTATTTATGGTTTAGTATTAAATTTGCATACAACAAGTATTTAAATGTAGTCTTCAAAAACCGTAGAAGCTAACCATTATTTTATAAAACCTAAAGAATATCGAATATATTTTTTTTAAAAAAATCTGTAATTTTCTTTAATTAAATTTTCATTTCATAAATGGTGTTCTAAATTAAGTATTGTAGTTTTGGTTTCTCTGTTCGCTCTCGCGTTTTGTTGCTTGTTTAATCGATGATTTCACTTGGCCCGTGTATCGATTTAAGCCGATTGAAGGGCGCGGTTAAACGGGTTGCGCCGTCCGCTTGTTGCTCTTTGTTGACCTAAATTCCCAGCCAATCCCGTCCAGTTACTTCCAGATTGTGATTTCGGTACTATTTGCCTGGGGATTTGTTTTGTGCTAAAAACGTAAACCAATATTTTCACGGTGACAATGTCTTTAAAAGCATATTTTTGGAAATAAGCAGATAAAAGAAGATGACTTTGTCAGCCATGTCAAGAATAATCTGCCGAAATGGGAAACACAATTATAGCTTTAAAAAATCTGTTTTGTATTATAAACTTATAAAAAAATATATACTAAAAAAATTACAAAAAAAACTGCCTTTATTAGGTTTTTAGTCATAAAAAGTTGCTTAACAATTATGCGATTGACAGTGTATATCATGGATATTTATAGAGATGGTTGTGTTCGGTATTGTTATTTCAAATATTTCTTCTAACTTCTTGCAGACTTCAGGAGGATCCACCTACGGGTGTCTCGGGTGCCCCAACAGATAATAATATTATGATATGGAATGCTGTGATTTTTGGTCCACACGATACACCATTCGAGGACGGAACCTTTAAGTTAACCATAGAATTTACGGAAGAGTATCCAAACAAACCGCCAACAGTTCGATTCGTATCGAAAGTATTTCATCCCAATGTGTACGCAGATGGTGGAATATGCTTGGACATATTGCAAAACCGCTGGAGTCCCACATACGATGTTTCAGCCATACTAACATCCATACAGGTGAGTCGTACTTCGGCTGGCACTGGAGACTGGAGACTAATTTCTGTTTGTGTTCTTTAGTCACTGCTGAGCGATCCCAATCCCAACTCACCGGCTAACTCCACCGCCGCCCAGCTGTATAAAGAAAATCGGCGCGAGTACGAGAAGCGTGTGAAAGCCTGCGTGGAGCAGAGTTTCATCGATTAGCCATGCGCCCACTCTAGGAACAGAAGCAGCATCAGAAGCATCAGAAGCAGGAGCCACAACAGGAGCAGCAGCAGATTTGAGGGCGGCTGCAGCTTAAAACATCAGCAAACTACAGCAACAAAAATATGCAATACCATAAAGAAGTTTAAATTAAATAATAACAGAAATATTTATGATAATTGTAATGCTATGAAATTGTAACAGCGCCAACGGCACGGCACAGCAGCATATATATATATACACCCTCAACCGCTCACCGCTCACACACCCTGCGCACACCACCCGAAGCCTATAAACACTGGGCAGTTATAAGTTATATTTGTTTGGCCGATAGTTCCACCTTGTCCTTAACCCGATCCCGAAATCAGACGCAGATCACTGAAAAATACCCGAAAATCCAATGTAGCAGCAGCGGCTAGTTAAGCCGACAGCCAGATATAAGACTCTCATAAGCTAACAACTCAAATGTTATAATTCAAATAGCAGCGGCAGAAAACTAATAATAATAATAATAATAAAAAAAAATTATAAAACCATGTCAAACAATTGCAAAACCCAAATAGTTTCATTTTAGATGTGCGCAAAGCAAGTCTTGTAAAACTAAACTAATTCTGCAACTAAACCAAAATCTAACCAGAAATTAATATATGTAGTAGTTTGTGTCGTAGTAAACGCCCACACAGTTAATTTGCAAGTTTTAAGCTACATTGTAGTCCAGTGTCATCAATGATATCTACCGAAAGTCCACATACAGATACACATACACATGCTACCTAGATCGATTCATAAGTTTATTGGCTACAAATTGTGAAATTACTAGAAATTGAGAATTAAATGTTAGTTGTTAGCAATGTAAACCAATCCACATGGTACGTGAGAACAAGTCTCCAATTTTGGGAATGAGCAGGCAATTATATAAGTATACCTCTGTAGCATCCAGTGACCAATGCGCTATGTATTTTGCACGATTACTTCGTTGCCAGACCCACAACCCACCCACACGCTATCTGTAAGATCTTATCCTTGATCTGATTCAAGTTAATACCCTAATTTGGTGTGTTACCATGGCCCATGGCCCTCACAATGTGCGGGATCTTTTTTTAGTGTATGATTGGATGGAAACACCTCATAAACTGCCATTTGCCACGCTATGTACTCTCTAGGTTCCACTGTGTCTTGGCTGCGGCAATTGATTTAGTTAGTTTTTAAGCGTTTACAATCGAGTCTTGTAATCTTGTTTTTTGTTGAATGCGAATTGCTGTTCCTTTTGCTATGAACCCTCCACTTTTGGCACTTTGTGTTGAACGGATCGCGAAGTTGAAGATGCGATGATGATGCTCTGAGCATCATGTTAATCTTATATATGAAAGACCTACCATGTAGCAGCCTATTGTTTATTAATTATGAACCAACTAAAGCTGACGAAGCAAGTAGTCCCAACTCAAATCACAGTAAACGTAAAGCAAAGGATGAGGATTAAGGCAATCCATTCGAATAATGTGGAATTTCAAATTACCTTACTGTAATTAACATTATTATTATTAATAAAGTTTAAGATTTCAAATATCAATAAATGAAAATAACACAACTTCGTCAAGTCAAAATTTTTTCTTTATTATTTTTATTGCGTATTTAATCGATTTTTATACTTAACCCAGTTTGTTGTTACTCCTTTTCAGCTGAGATAGGAGCAATCTGGTGAACAATTGAAAAATATTATAGCTTCGTTTTTTCAAAACAAACTCATACGGTCCAAGGTAAAGTGGTTATACCTGTTACTCGTAGAGTAACCGTATAGTATTCGTTGAAAAGTTTGTAACAGGTAGAGGGGGGTTTTCTTTCTTTTCGGACCTTACAAAGTATATATGAGGTATAGTGGTATTCCTATACCACTATGACATTTAAACCCTTTTATACAGTTTACATTTTTTTAAAAATATTTTGTGAAAGCGACAAAATAGTATCTTAAATAGTTTTGGAATGACAGCGGCAGTACTCTAAAAAAGGACCGCTCGCTGGTATTAGCCGCTTCATCGGAAACTTTAAACCTGTTTTCCTCGAAACGACACTTTTTAAAATTTCTGACATCTTAACTCCACGATTAATTGGCCGGTCGACTTTAAATTGAAATATAGCATTCTTGAATGTTTTTACTATAAAGTAACGTACAATATTTTTGATTAGTTAAAAACTGCCAGAATTTGTCATTAAAAAAATACTTTCTACTTTAATAACCTTGTTGAAAGTTGAAAACATACTTTAATGTTTCAAACAACTTTAAAACATTCCATCGAGTACTTTCTAAGAAAAACAAGGAAGGAAGTAAACTTCGGAAATCGAAGCTTATATAGCCCTGGAGCTATTGCATAATTAATTTTTGTAAAATTCCGTTTGTTCTCATAAAATCCATATGATATAACATCATTTTAAAAGTGTGTGTTTTTAAAAGACCAAAAATATACATTTCGCAGTGCGTTCGTTCAAACGGTTTCAAACCCTATTGCGCAAGTCAGCATTGGTGTTATTACATCGGGGTGCGTTGTTAACCAAAATCATGTAATTCCCAACTAGTTCTAGCGGTACGCTCATTGCAACCCCGATTCTGAGCAAGGAAAAGCATACTTACCTGGCGTAGAGGTTAACCGTGATCACGAAGGCGGTTCCTCCGGAGTGAGGCTTGGCCATTGCACCTCGGCTGAGTTGACCTCTGCGATTATTCCTAATGTGAATAACTCGTGCGTGTAATTTTTGGTAGCCGGGAATGGCGTTCGCGCCGTCCCGACATAAGAAATAAATATGTTAAGCATTAGAGTTGAGGACTGTGTTAAATGGTTGAATACAAAACTGGCATTTTCATTTTGTTTTCCATTCAGTGTTTCGATCGTTCTCATGCCAGCTATAGATATAGTTTTTCGATTTTAATAAAATTAAAAAACGACCAAGTAATAATTTTTGCGATCCTTTGGGAGTTGGCATTGTCGCCCGACCCGTCTGTTCCGACTACCTACACAAAAAAGAAAACTGTTTGAAATGTTTAATATAAATAGCTTTACAACTGAGGGACTAGATTACTTATAAACGGACGGACGGATAAGCTAACAAGGCTGGCGATTCTCATCAAGAATTTATAAACTTTTAGGGTTGTAAATGCCTTCTTTACTGCGTTGCAAACGTTTGGCTACAATTATAGTAGCCTCTGAAACTGTATACATATATTTATATAACATCGAACTACCCTCTTTTTATCATTTTCGAGATTTTTAGATCTATTAAAACTAGAAGTTTGGACTTAGCGCAACTGCACTAATCGCAAAATGCCAAAAATCTATTTGGTCCATTAACGAGCAGATTTGATTTAATGTAATTTTTTGGGCATTTTAAGAAATGTTTTTTGGAAATCGATTGTCGACTATCGGATATAGTATGATAATTTGATTTTTAGTTGAGCTTTGAAATATTTTAACTTGTGGATAAGGCTCGTTTTCAAGCATTTGAGGCCCACAATATCAATCAACAGATTAATTATTGAATCGGTATTAAACCGTTTTTAATATTTTCACTGAGTCATCTTAACTGGGACCCAAAATACCATCCTGCTTATCAAGACTACAATTGATCGACTTAACACACCAAAGATTTTTTGCACAAACTTGTTACCGGTATGGTGAAAATTCCTTTTCTTCTTAGTAGGTTAACGGACGTTAAGACCACCATGTATATACAAAACTAACACTATTAACATATTTATTTCTTATGTCGGGACGGCGCGAACGCCATTCCCGGCTACCAAAAATTACACGCACGAGTTATTCACATTAGGAATAATCGCAGAGGTCAACTCAGCCGAGGTGCAATGACCAAGCCTCACTCCGGAGGAACCGCCTTCGTGATCACGGTTAACCTCTACGCCAGGTAAGTATGCTTTTCCTTGCTCAGAATCGGGGTTGCAATGAGCGTACCGCTTGAACTAGTTGGGAATTATATAATTTTGGTTAACAACGCACCCCGGTGTAATAACACCAATGCTGACTTGCGCAATAAGGAGTCCAAAAGAGTTTGGTCGGGCTCTCTGTGCGATAATAAATTTAAAACTATTTATTTCAAACCCAATTTGTTCATGTTGTATAATAATTTATTTATTAATCAGGTTTTCAACCCACATGTAATGCTTCAATCACATTTGCTTTTTTGCCGTGGTAGGCTGACAAACCTCGGTAACTTCACATATCCAAAAGTTGGACAGATAAATTCCTTTGAAAGTTGGCAGTATTCAACACAAATATTTTGCTTAAGTAACTCATAGTTGCTTCCATATTGTGCTTATATTTTGTAGGAATTAGTATTCAGGCTATCAAAAATTGATCCCAAAACAAAAAACCTCATATAAAAAAGGTCCAAAATTGTTGTACCGTTTTTTCAAAGTTTTTTGTTTTGGGAGCAATTATGGTAGCCTGAGTACCATTTTTTTTGCATTTATTAATAATTCTTATGTTAGATGCCATCAGACAGGTAGAGCCTGGAAAAAGCGCAGAAAAGGTTCGAAGTAATCGCTATGCTCTTTGTATAAAATGCCAAATTTTATGTGTTTTTTTGCTGATGATTTGGTTATGATTTGACTTAGTAATGAATCCCTAAGAAATGCCCATGTTTAATAATCACTTTTTTGTATCATCA